TGTTAGGAAGAAATAACGTTGGAACGTCCTTCAAGTATGCATCGAGTTTAAATATCTTTGAGAATAAAACTTTCGAGAAATTTCGAAATTTATTTGACACCGAGAGTGAAAATCGCTGCCATTCTGTTTGTGAAAAATACTCTCAGCATTTCCTCAAATCTATCCCCGAATGACACTGTCCAAAAAATAGAGAAAAATATCGAAAGAAAGGTATTTTTACGATATTAACGAGAATAAGAAAACAAAAATCATTTCCAAAATTCTTTTAAACGCATAGCCTTTTTGAAATAAATATTTCGAAATGATTGGTGCACAAATTAAAATAAATAATTTCAACAACGCAACGAACTCTTCGATAATGCTGTAGAATTCGAAGAAACGAAAAGAAAAACGAAGGAATGAGATGTAGTTCGAGAAGGTGGATCGGTATCATCGTGCCTCTCCTGTTATAACATTAGGATTTGCGTCACGCGTGGCAGATATATAATTTATATGATGTAATCGGGTCACGTTCGTTGGGAGAACAAAACTAACGAGACTCCATCTGCTAAGCATACTCGGTGATTCGACGGAACACGAACCATAAACACATATACCGATTGTGGCCCAAAAATGTTCCTACGCAAGTACATCTATAACAGGAAGAAAGTGGAGAAATCGTTTCGTTTCGACTTTGGCTGGCTCACCATTCTTCTCAATTCCTTTGTACGTGATAAGAAATAGGCAATACAGCGTTTATGATATATAGATAAATTGGACAGAGAGATAATACCAAAGGGCAGAGATTTTCGCGAAATACGAGCTCGATTTATTTCTCACAAAATTCTCGCTCAATATTCAAGAACACCGATATAAGAGGTTGCAATACTTTTCATCCTTTTCACGTTCGTTTTACTTACGTAGAATTACGTTTCTCTGCGAATTCGAGACAAAAGTAACGTTCGTTTGATTATTTATATCTGATATGCATGGAAAAAAAGAAGAAAAAATTCGAATCTCTTCCAGAGAACAGATTCAAAATCACGAGAATGAAATCAATTCTCGTAATTCCAATCACTGTGTTTCGTTAATAAAATTTGGTAAAGTTTACGATTCGTGTCTCACACACGCACACATTATTGTGAAAATGGTGGAACAACGCGGAGACCGCATTGCGCTTCCCCGAATTTAGCAGAGATAATATCGCATAATTCATGGGCGGGGAGAGGGGCGACTTGGTCATCGCCGACGCGCAACAGAGAGTTAGGTACATCGGTGGGTGAACATGTTGGTCGAGTTCCATTTGATGAACAAAAGGGAAGATGGGACGAATCGTATTATCGAAACCACGATGGGGAATGTTTTATCCTTTGAAACGATTATCAACCAGGGATCGACTTGTCGGTGATTAAATTAAATATCCGAGTTTACGATGAAAGTGTTCATAATCAAAGTTCGCGCTGATTTCGGTCGATAATTCAGTTTGTCGATTCAATTACCGACGCTGCTGCCTCGTGAAACGATGTTTTCAACGTTTGATTCGACAAACCTGTGATATTATCGTTACTCTCTCGAACGAAGGAAATTAAATGGATATTGACAACCGTGAACGAAACACGGATCGGATGAATTTAATGTTGAAATTACGAATCGAACGCGCGATCGGCAACGCGATGACGAGTCGATCGAAAAAAAAAAAAAAAAATCGAGAGCAACGAGTGAAAACGATTTGACGATCCGCGATCCGTGTCGGTTGATCTCATTTACATTTCACGGACCTCGGGTCACCTCGTGGCTATCGATCCTTGGTTCCCTTGAATATCGGTCGCATCGATGGACTAGCCGCGGTTTGATTTATTGGCAAACCGCGTTACCCCGCTTCGTGTCCAGCCTCACCGTCCAACTACGAATTTGTCCTCGAAAGACTCCATTATCGACATTCCATCGACGATAAAGGTCTTGATAAAGCTGGAATTCTATTTATACGAGGTGACTTTATCTCTCTAGTCGCTTGAGCTGTTGAACATATCCACGTATTCGACGGGGGACTAAAGAGTCCATTGATCCTTCTCCGGATATGTTAATATGTTTTCACATCGCGAAAGGGAATTCAAGAAAAGATTTTGAAACGTAGGATCTGAGAAAATGGAATCGAGTTCTGTTGTTTTATTTGAAACGTCCAAATGGACGTTTAAAGTTGAATGATTTTCTCGATCGAAAAGGCATACTATCTGATCTGAAAAAGAGAATTAATTGGTTCGTCAAGTATGCGCATGCTCGTAGCAGTTTCGCGAGGCTGCAGGAATTCGCACGTGGTTGAGGGAACTACAATCGTTACGAAGTTTGGAAATCCTACGAGGGAAGTTCGTTCGTGGATCGTGGATAGGTTTCGAGGATCTCGAGGAGGAGGAGGAGGAGGAGGAGGAGGATCAGACGTCAGATACAAATTCCAGAACAGTGGCGGTTAACCGACCCTGTTTACGAACTTTGGGAACGTAGACGCTCGGAGAAAACTTCGAAAATGAAAATGAACGAAATAAAATTCCATCCGTGGCAATTCCTATCACCGAGCTCACTCCACCCAACCTAAGAGTAATCAAACGCGTGATCTTACCGGTGATAACAGTACCGAATCGTAATTTCCTTCCTTTTCAGTTAGAATATCAAAAGTTGGAAGAAGGAGGATCATCGTTGAGTTCTGAAACGATCTTTGATTCGAAAGGCACGAAATTTGGCGAAAATTAAACTCGCATCTTTGCATTTCCATTCAGAGATAAAAAATAAACAAACTTTTTTAACGAACGAGAAAACTTTTTCCAATCGAGACAAAAATTCTCTCGCTCTCGTGCTTTGCCAAAATTCCTTGATACAAAATTCTTTTCAGATCCTCGTAGGATACGAAATTTAAAAACTTTTTCTATTCTCAAATTTTTTTTCCATACGTCAAAATTTCTTGATCAACGAATTTTTAAACCCCTTATAGAGTAATCCAGTTCCGAAAGAAATCGACTTAAAAAAAAAAATTCCCATTATTCGCTTCCCTCTTACCTAAATCTTGTTCGTAACGAGATTTTCCTTCATTCCAACCTTGTATCGTAGCTTTCGGGAGAATCGAGAAGGTAATTCTCTCTGGTGAGAGAAGGATTAGAGCGGGGACATCTTCGACGTGGCGAGACGCCATGTTTACACCAGGATCTCTCTTCTGATCCTCACAGTTACGCGAACCGCTCGATCTCGAAAGTGTACCGATCTCCTTGACAACGATCGGAATAAATGCGTGGCGTGAGAATAATAATAAAAAAAAAGAAAAAAAAAAAGTTCATTGTTCAATCGTCGCATTTAACGCTCGCCACTCGAGAAACTCGTGCAGCTGGTGCAGCTGCACGCGCAGCCGCCATTCCTCGTTAAACTTCGGGAGTTTGAGCCTGTGCCTCGACAATTTGGAATTCACCGAAACGGCAGATAACGCTTGCCTACTTGAACAGTTTCCTTGTAGTTTTCACCAGCTTTGCTTCGTTCAAAGAGTATCTCATTAACGAATCGGTTTAATCACCTTTGTTCGAGCTTCTTCGTTTGAGAAAAAAAAAAAAAAGGAGGAGGGATTGTTGAATTCTGAAAATTCCTTTCACCGACTCGAGAAGCTACGATAAGATGTATTTATGTAGGTACATTTTTGAAGTTGACGAGGTGTAAACGGGCTGACGTGAATTAATTCAAGTTGGAAAAAAGTGATGGGAAGAGGAATGCGTGGAATGCAAATTGCACGAGTATACGCGATGCTTCCTCGCGACATCCGTCTATATCGATCGTTGAACTCTCGAGGCTCTAACAATTCCCTAATAATAGGAATGCAAATAATTCGCCGCGATGAACAAATGGAAATCGAAACGATTTGTCACCTGACGATTTAGATTCGAGATATGTTGAAAATAAGCATATCGAAAAAATTGTATTCTACGCATTCAGAGGAATTGTGCTCAGAGTTTATTATACAAGTGTTTCGTTCCTCGTCGATGCAAAAGGATAAGTTAAGAAATTTTTCTCGAATATACATTTCCACTTGAACATATAACATTTATCTTAGAATTGTAACGGTATTTGATGTGTTTTGATATGAAAGAAGAAAGAAAGAAAAAAACTCGTACACAAAACGCAACAGAGTTCTTTCGAAGGAGAAAAAAAATTAAATACGTCGTCGACCGAGTAATTTGTCGTTATCTACTCCGACACGATTCTGAACGTAATTCTCAGGTGACGAGATAACCAGATATCCTCGATCCTCCCTCGCGTTTACTTAACGCGAACTTGAAGAGCTTATGCTGATTATGAGTAAACACAGTTCGCAGTGCCGCTAATCAAAGCCGAAAGGGAACGACGCGACATCGTGTCGAATATCTCCCTCTACCAAATAACCGATGCATTCCACGTGTTTGCCAATTTTCTTCGAACACTGTTCCCCCGGGGATGAAATTTATACCAGCGTGCAAACAACGACGACATGCTTAATAACACCCGATTCTTCGACGTTGCGCATTTCACGATTTCCAATTCCCGTTAAACGATGACGAAGATTAATGGACGGGACGGTTTGATCGGAGTACTACAAGGGAGGAGAAAAAATTGGAGCAAAAAAGGGAAAAAATTACGTTCCTGGCGCGCTTAATTAACGCTTTAATCCTGGTTATGCGTCGTGGAAACGGAACGTTGTTTAATTCAAACAGCTCGTTAATTTCGAACGTAACGTTTTCCACGTGACTAATCCAATTTATGCAACATATATATATATATATATATATACACATCTACTTTGGTTGGCAAACGATTTCAGGTGGATACAAAATTCCTCTATCCAATTTTCGAATATAGCTTTCTTCCCAAAACCACCCCTATCCACGCTCTACTACGATTCTCGGTCAGAGACGAGATTCCCCTCCTCTGTGTATAAATAATTTCGAGGAGAAATTTGACAAGAATTTCGCCCAAGCGTGCGATTTAAAGTGCGATTGTATATCGGTTTTCAGATATCGCCGGTGGTTACCTGTGCTTTGTCGTCAGCATATTCGGGATCGGTGTGGTGACGGCGGTAATAGGAGACGTGGCATCCTACTTTGGCTGCACCCTAGGCATCAAGGACTCGGTTACCGCGGTTGCCTTCGTCGCCCTCGGCACCAGCATCCCCGGTGAGTTGAGCGAACCTTCCTCCGAGATTTTCTCGGGGAGGGAGGGGGAAGCAGGCCCCCTTATTTTTTTTTTTTTTTTTTTGTTTCAATGCGTATTTTCACGAATTTTCCACGCGACGAAATCCGGACGAGCGAGATAAGATTACCTCTCATTGTGATTAGAGGGCTAAGTTTTTTATGAAAGTGCACGCGTCTCAAGGACAGTTTCATCGACACGAATTAGCACGTTAATTCACCCACCCCTTGATCTTTGTACCAGTATATATATATATATTCTCGAGAGAATTCGGTGTTGCTTGGATTTAAAAAAAAGAATGTGCATACGACGAACGAATGTAATTTCGGAATTTAATTTTTTCTAAGAGAGCGATCATCGAATCCTTCGTTTCTAGATTGCCTCGCAAATTTTTAAACAGGGTAAAGATTCGTAAAGATCTTCGAATTGTGCGTCGAGATAACTTGTATCAATTCACGAATCGTAATTAAAAAAAATATATATTTATATTCTTTTTTTTTTTTTTTTTTTTTTACGCATGAAACGAATATATCTTCGAAATGGAAAGATCCGAAATGGGGTATGAATTTCACTGTTCGAATGGACGCGTCTCTGGTACGTTTTTCACATTAAGGCCGGGGTGTCGCGCGGAAACGAATAGAATCGTCCTGCGGTGACCATTGCCCCGTGAAAAGCATGGGCAACGGTGTGCGAACGCGTTTATCAGCGGTGTGCGTGCGCGGGTTGGCGTGTCAACAGCCATCCCATACTCGTACGATTATTGGAATAAATCAGTGGCCGCCGCTTTTATCGGAGGACCGCTCGCTGCATTTGCATATCCGCGGTCCATTCGTTGGCCGCCACGTTTGCAATTATACTGGCTTCGCTCGGTACGTTGGTGGAAACGGTGGAGCTTACGGCTTAGGGGATTCGATACACGTTCGCCGAGGAAAATAAATTTAAGATACTTTCCCTTACCCTCGAAAGTTTGAACTGGTTCGGGTTCGAAGAAACGAAATTTTTCTTTCTAGAAATATCGCCGTTCGTGTATCGGGAAAATATGGTAACAATCGTTTGTGAATTTAATTCCAGGCATTTTATTGAACTTAATTTACGAGGTTTGTAATATTAGTCTAAAGGGAAATTGTTTTGTTTTGTTAAATTATCAGGATAATTCTTAAGTTTAAATTATACTTGCGAGCATCATTTTTTTTTTTTTTTTTTTTTTTTTTTTATTTCGTAANTTTTTTTTTTTTTTTTTTAGATCGAGATCTCTTCGAAATTACGAGAATTGTTTAATGTTAATTTTCTGCGTTTTAAAAAATGAGAAAAATATACAGATCGGTAATATGCATTAGAGTAAATGCGATACGTAAATTTTATCCAAATTGGAATGGTACTCGACTCACGGCAGCATTTTAATATAAATTGTACTAGAATAAATGAACGATATGCTAAAAAGTACCGTCGAGCAATAATACAAACACCAATTACGTTATAATTATATTAATTTTTTGCCATTACTGCTTTTACCGTATATTATCGATATAATACTCGCGTAAATTATACTCGGGATAATATTGTCACGTGCAATCGTTACGTAAATTTTTGTTTTATTACCATTACTTCGTTCTAAATTATTCTCGTCGATTTTATAATTTTATTCACTCAAAACAGCTACGATAAACTTTTTTTTTTTAAAAACTATCGCCATTCGCATACCGAATTTCTGTGTGCACGATCCCTCGTCGTGTCGATGTCGCGACGAGAGAAATTCATTACACGAGCATAATCCGCACACGCGCACACGGGCCCGCCCGTTGGAAAACATCTCCACCCTTGCGAGAAAGAAATTTCCGGCCGAACAAACGAGGCTTGAAAAGAAGGATGAAATATAAAAAAGGGAAGGCTGGTTTTGAAAAGCCTGAAGGTTGAAAGAGACCTTCTTATCGCGGCTTTTCTCCGTTCCGGCACAATAACCTGATACTTGATTTTATTCAAAAGGAACCGCCGTTCCCTGAAAAAGGGCGTCTTGACTGCGCCGTTACAAATTTCGCCCGGCCGAGCTCCTCCTCCTCTCCCTTCCATCCTTGGAACAAGCGCGTTCGAGCGAAACCACCCTGAATAGCCCTCTTCCTCCCTCTGAATACGGCCAATTCGTAGAGGGTAAACGTGCCGCGAAATTAACCTTATCGCGTTTAATTAAAAATCTCGCGAGCCATTTACTTTCTTCTTTTTTTTTATTTCAATTCGAAAACGGGTAGGATTTTTTCTTCTTTTTTCTTTCTTTCTTTCTTTCTTTCTTTCTTTCGTCGATACGTACTTTTTATTTATTCAAAAAGGGTACAAAGGGGAACCTGGAGAGGGAAACTGGATCAAGAGCCACGTAAGTGGTGATGCGCGTGATTATTGTCGAGAGGAGGGGATAAAAACGGGAAGATGGAGAATTGGAAATCAAGTAAAGGAAAATATATATATATATATATCGATATTCAAAGGAGTGTAAATGGATCTATGTCTGGGAGGCGCAAAGGGAAAGTATATAATATAATTGCGACTAAAATTGAAGGATCGTTCGAGCAATTTATAATAAAACAATAGACCCTCCTTTCTAAAAAAAGATCGAATCTATATATCCGTTAAAGATCACGCTGACCAGAAAGAACAATAATCTCAAGGGGACTACCAATCTAAATAAGAGTCTCGTAGAGTAAAAGTATTTCGAATAGTTTTTAGATGGGGGAGGGGGACATTTAAATTTCAAAGGATCCACGGGACTAACGGCTGACGCAGCTCGTAAAAATTGCAGCCGTTTCTGCCTCCCCTCAACCTCCTTCTGTTTAACTTTCAGACCTCGGAAGAAGATCTTCTCGAGGTGTACGTAAGGCCACGAGGAATCGTGTGGCCTTCTACCGACAAAAGTCTCCTCCTCGACTCGACTCTGCGACTCTCGAATCGCGGGAAGAGACCGTGGGGAGATCGTATTTCGACCACGACAGAGGGAACGTTTCGCAAAGTGACACGATCTCTTGCAAGATTTATAGCGAGGTTTCAATGTGTTCGGCCAATCCCGTTTCCAGGGCTTTCATCTCGACACTTCCTCCTAGGGGAGGGATGAAAAAAGAGGCGAGGAAAAAGAGAGGGAGGAGGAGGGGGGAATATGAAAAATTACCTCCCCCCCTGTTAGTGACAAATGGGTGATATTCAAATTTTTTTTTCCAACTTCTTCTTTTCCACCATTTCGTCGTCGTTTAACTTGTCGAATTTCCGAAGAGAAACTCTTTGTCGAAGAATTAATTCGATTCGAAGATTGAATTCAAAAGTCGATCGTTCTCGAATTTTGCTCCAGAATCGTTTTTTTCGTCAGAGAAGACGACAAATATTTTTTTTTTTTTTTTACCCAAATATCTAAATTGTTCGATTCAACTTAAGCTTGTATCTTGAATCGCGCTTTGAAATAACGAAAATATTATATATATATTTTTTTTTTAACAAGAAAGCTGTTAAATAATACGGAATAACACGGATCGTGTGAATTATGGATTAACGGAGTGAACGATTATCACTGGTAATGGGAATTTATCAATGCGAATCGTGGCACAACCCCGCCTTTACCGGCGTATTCCGTATTCAACGAGGATTTTAGGGGTTACTATATAAGGTGAGTAGTGATATGCGGCAGAGAGAGCCGGGGTTGGTGATAATTTATTGCGTTTAGCCATTGTGAGCTCGAACAATGCTCTCGCTTCGGGGTCGCGCCACCCCTTACTGTCCTCCATCCCCTCCGATGGATCGTTGGATGAACCTTCAACGCGTTATCGTGTGAAAACTCTCCATTGTATCTAACGATCCAAACGGGATGCCTGCAAAGAACATTTCCTCCAAATATTTCTCTCCCCCCGCCCCATGGAGATATCCGAGAAAAATTGTTCCCATCCCGTGGAATCGGTCGAATCTCGAGAATCTGCCTCTCGTTCGTCTCGAAACAATCGAACGTGGACGTCGATGACGACGAAGGTTATCGAGGTAAAATATATATATTATATATATTATATATATTATATAGCCTCGAATTTATTATCGGCCTTGATCAATCATTAATCACATTAACAGATGGAGCCAGTGGATCGAAACGTCGGTCAAATCCAATTTTATGCAACGCGGAAATTTCGATCAATTGTCGGTTCTTTCTATTCCTCGTCCAGCAAAATGAACCTTCGCATCCTGTCAACCTGGTTCATTATTGAGTAATCCGTTTTCTTCGTTTCTCGTAAGATCAATAACGATCGATCGATAATCGAATTCTAAGCTTGTGTATAAATATAAAGAATATTTGAAAGTGAAATAAATTTAACTTTCTATAATCTTTATAAAATGGACCACGAATAAGCTATATTGCAAGATACAACTATATCGAATCAAGATACAACTCAAAGATCAAACTCTATAATTGATAATTTCAAGTTCAATTAAAGATCGAAAATCGATCCCTCTCCATCCAACAGGGAGAATTCTAATTCTCGAAACCGAGGAAATGGAGTCAAAGTCGGATAGTCAAAGCGGCCAGTTGATAACATAATGTTCGAAATCCGTAAACTCCATAAGATAAGATGTTTCACGAACGGAGGGATCCTCGACACGTTCAACGAGAGATGGGACAATAAGAGAAAATTCCGATCTCTGCGAAGAAGATTGTGGCGAGCGAATCCTTGGTCAAAGGCCATAAATATTGATGAGAATTCTACGGAAGGAAGGAAGGAAGTTTGCGACGATCGTAAAAGTGCGCGAAACGCGTGGGAAGCCAAAGTAGTTCACCCGGAATTCATCCTCGATCCGCGAATTATACAAATTTTCTCGATCGTGAGGAACATTCCCGGTTGAAAATTGATTTCGATCTACATCGTCCTTTTCATCCAGAATTTTCGATTCGAATAGCCACACAAGATCTACAAGAATGGACAAACTTCGAGTCGTTCCTCACTCTTGATCGGCCTCTATGACGATACCTCGATTTTCGACTCGACTCGAGCCGAAATACAGTCTCAAAATGGATAAACTTAATATCCTTCCACGATTTTCTTATTCTCGATTGATCTTTTATGTACAGAACATGCCATGTAAAAAGATCTATAGGACGATTAACGAAAGATTCGATGAGGCTTTGCGATTGGAAAAATGGTTCCAAATTTTTAGCCAAGTAGCGTACGAATGGTAACGAAAAACCGCGAAAAACAACCGTGGAATAAAAACGGGGATACGATTGCCAATAATTCTTTTTGTCTCCTTGTTTTTTCAAACAAAACTCGATAATATTCAAGCCGATATCGGGACTCGAATAATCACGAAATCGTTTACAATATCGAATGCGTGAAAGTTTTTTACAGTGGAAAGCTAGCGGCACAATCGATTGGAATACATATATATATATAAAACTGGTGGGTGAAATGAATCCAGGCACACGCGGCTGAATTTAATCCGAGTGTATATATACATGCACGCACAGTAGTTACGTACACCTTGGCTGGTTATTCACGTCAGCTGGCTGTTGTGCACAATGTTCTCGTCGCGATAGGAGCAACGACCAATAACAAGAACCGACGAAAGTAGTAGGCGACGCATATGGCGAAACATATTCGCCGATTAAACGCGGAGGGGGAGATATCCCGTTTTTGGAACGGTTTGCATAACTCCCTACGAGTGTGTTTACCCGGGGATTGTTCAAGTTACGTTTTTCCGCGAATGAAAAAATTCGAGATAAAGTTTTTACGAAATTTTCCTCTCTCTCTCTCTCTCTCTCTCTCTCTCTCTCTCTCTCTCTCT